TGACTTCAAACCAGAATAAAAGCCCAACTTAGAGTTTCATTGTTAGTTAGTCAATACCAATCAATAAAATCATGCACAAAACCCATTAATCACCACCATACACATATTCTACATCACCTCGCTATCATATGATATGATATCGTGACACCTGTTTTACTGGCCAATTCTCTGGAACACTGATCGTAGACCCATTGTCCTGCCAGGTTAATAAAGTTTTAAGCCAATCAAGCGGCCTTGTTTTATCATGGCTGTTCCTGAAGACTATACTATTGCTCCTCTATCCTTTTCATCCTTGACTAGTTTGGAATTAAGCCCGATTCTAATTTCACCCAACGCTGACTTGCTATTGATTCCGACAGTCTTCTTGTTCGCGGAACTGATGGCCTTTGTTGCAGAAAGACAGCTCTCATTGTATTACAACATGAAAATGGCTGAAAAGCAGTCTGAAAGTAATACCTAACATGATATCTATAGAAAACACATTCATGCTTCCTTCTCTAACAATTAATCTATGATCAGCTGAGAGAAACAGTGTTGTTCTCATACATGAACATTAACGCCAATATTCAGACGGAAATGCTCACATTTGGAATTCTGGTTACGAAGGATAGTGGCTTGTTAACGAGTTGTTGATATATTTCATTACTGTAGTGCCACATACTGGCCCATGTGGACTACCTGATTTATTTGTCAAAAGTCTGGGCGTACTAACACCATCTTCCCCACCAAATAGAACATGTTTTGTTTGTTTGTTGTTGAACACTGCCCTCAGCAATATTCCAGCTATATGATGGCAGTCTGTAAATAATCAAGACTGGAACAGACAATCCAGTGATTGACATCATGAGCATTAACCATGTCATTAACCAAGTCAGCGAGCCTGACCACCCGATCCTATTAGTCGTCACTTACAACAAGCATAGTCGCCTTTTACGGCCTGGGCTGCTGAAGACCTATTCTAACTCGGATCTTCACTGGGGACAAACATGGGTTGCTGAAGACCTATTCTAACCCGTATCTTCACGGTGGACAAGCATGGGCTGCTGAAGGCCTATTCTACCCCGGATCTTCACTGGGGACAAGCCCGGGCTGCTGAAGACCTATTCTACCCCAGGTCTTCACTGGTGACAAGCCTGGGTTGCTGAAGACCTATTCTAACCCGTATCTTCACGGTGGACAAGCATGGGCTGCTGAAGGCCTATGATAACCCGTATCTTCACGGGGGACAAGCATGGGCTGCTGAAGACCTATTCTACCCCGGATCTTCACTGGGGGCAAGCCCGGGCTGCTGAAGATCTATTCTACCCCAGGTCTTCACTGGGGACAAGCCTGCGCTACTCGAGACCTATTCTAACCCGGATCTTCACTGGGGACAAGCCTGGGCTACTGGAGACCTATTCCACCCAGGATCTTCACTGGGGACAAACATGGGCTGCTGAAGACCTATTCTACCCCGGATCTTCACTGGGGACAAGCCCGGGCTGCTGAAGACCTATTCTACCCCAGGTCTTCACTGGTGACAAGCCTGGGTTGCTGAAGACCTATTCTAACCCGTATCTTCACGGTGGACAAGCATGGGCTGCTGAAGGCCTATGATAACCCGTATCTTCACGGGGGACAAGCATGGGCTGCTGAAGACCTATTCTACCCCGGATCTTCACTGGGGACAAGCCCGGGCTGCTGAAGATCTATTCTACCCCAGGTCTTCACTGGGGACAAGCCTGGGCTACTCGAGACCTATTCTAACCCGGATCTTCACTGGGGACAAGCCTGGGCTACTGGAGACCTATTCCACCCAGGATCTTCACTGGGGACAAACATGGGCTGCTGAAGACCTATTCTACCCCGGATCTTCACTGGGGACAAGCCCGGGCTGCTGAAGACCTATTCTACCCCAGGTCTTCACTGGTGACAAGCCTGGGTTGCTGAAGACCTATTCTAACCCGTATCTTCACGGTGGACAAGCATGGGCTGCTGAAGGCCTATGATAACCCGTATCTTCACGGGGGACAAGCATGGCCTGCTGAAGACCTATTCTACCCCGGATCTTCACTGGGGACAAGCCCGGGCTGCTGAAGATCTATTCTACCCCAGGTCTTCACTGGGGACAAGCCTGGGCTACTCGAGACCTATTCTAACCCGGATCTTCACTGGGGACAAGCCTGGGCTACTGGAGACCTATTCCACCCAGGATCTTCACTGGGGACAAACATGGGCTGCTGAAGACCTATTCTACCCCGGATCTTCACTGGGGACAAGCCCGGGCTGCTGAAGACCTATTCTACCCCAGGTCTTCACTGGTGACAAGCCTGGGTTGCTGAAAACCTATTCTAACCCGTATCTTCACGGTGGACAAGCATGGGCTGCTGAAGGCCTATGATAACCCGTATCTTCACGGGGGACAAGCATGGGCTGCTGAAGACCTATTCTACCCCGGATCTTCACTGGGGACAAGCCCGGGCTGCTGAAGATCTATTCTACCCCAGGTCTTCACTGGGGACAAGCCTGGGCTACTCGAGACCTATTCTAACCCGGATCTTCACTGGGGACAAGCCTGGGCTACTGGAGACCTATTCCACCATGGATCTTCACTGGGGACAAGCCTGGGCTACTGGAGACCTATTCCACCCTGGATCTTCACTGGGGACAAGCCTGGGCTACTGGAGACCTATTCTAACCCGGATCTTAAATGGGGACAAGCCTGGGCTACTCGAGACCTATTCTAACCCGGATCTTCACTAGGGACAAGCATGGGCTGCTGAAGACCTGTTCTACCCCGGATCTTCACTAGGGACAAGCATGGGCTGCTGAAGACCTGTTCTACCCCGGATCTTCACGGGGGACAAGCCTGGCTGCTGAAGACCTTTTCTACCCCGGCTCATCACAGCTCTCTAGTACATGTAATAATTATTACACACAGTCTCTCTTTATACCACTTACTACTGCTGTGCTTGTGCAGGTTGGCCACAAATGCGACATTACTATTTTATTACTTGAAGTTTGAGGACCCATTTCTGATGTCAGACTATTGAGTGCCAGCTTGATGTGGAAGGCGGCGGAAGAGGTGAAATGGGGTTTCATGTCGTGTTCAACACCCTTGCGCTTATATAATATCATGTGGGTATGGTGTATGAGAAACATAATTGGGACAAACTGGGATTCGAACCCACAATCATAGGTGTCTGGCGTGCCAAAAGAATGCAACCCTGCACAACGAACTGCGCGCCTTAGACGACTGGGCCACCCATGCCCCCCAGTTACAAAGAGGTCACAATGTGTCGGCTGTAATATTGCATGTCATGATGTACAATCTCATTCCCGCTTCCTTCATGCAAGGTGTTATTTCCACGGCAATATAATCATACTTACCCAGCTCTCTCATTCCCTCCGGGCAATTGTCATGATTGATGATACAGGCTGATGATGATTTTGAGGAGATAATTAATTTTCTTAAAAAATCCCAACGAGGGCCATGAATTTCTCCAATACCATTAAGACTAAGAGTGATTACATTTTTTTTTAAAATGCTCAAAATGATTCGTCAGGATATCCTATTTTTAAAGTGATCACCAACCCAACCATAAATAATTAATATAACCTGACTAAGTCCACTATAACACCTGCTGATAATCACTCCCGGACATGCGTTGTGATATACTAACATACATTTACACCCTGATCCAAGTTATAATTAATCTTCAGCAACCCGTGCTTGTCGTAAGAGGCGACTAACAGGATCGGGTGGTCAGACTTGCTGTTTTGGTTGATGTATGTCATGGTATCCCAATTTCAAATGCATAGATCGATGCTCATGATGTCAATCACTGGATTGTCTGGTCCAGATTCGATTATTTACAGATCGCCGGCCTTAGCTGGAATGTTGTCTTTCAATGATAAGTTCAATAAAACTAGCTCACACCTAACAAACACAAATGCTTACTTCTGCACTTTATTTTTCAAACACTGGCCTCACTCCTATTATGTTTTTCTCCAAGTCATATGAGGTGAGGTGAGGTGAGGTGAGGTGAAATTGAGTTTAACGTCATGTCCAAGATTATTGCACTTCTATAGTGATATGCATGCACGTGTGTTTGTGTGGCTGCTTGTACTAGTCCGGACTGATGCTGATTATAGTGCTAGCCCACTGAGATACCATGCCACAGTTTAACATGAATACCCCACTCAGATACAGTATACGGACTCCGAGCCGACCAGTCCTTGTTTTAGCCCCTCAATGCCGAACACCAGACAGGTTAACAGCAAGTACCATCTTTTAATGTCCTTTAGTGGTTAGTCACGTGATATACTGTTTAATGACATTAACAATAAAACCCCATGGCTACACTACAAGTATAGCTAATGTTTACATTTCATTCTAAATATGCAAGCATTCATTCTGACTTTTACATGTTCGAGTAAGGATAAAGCGTCTATCAACCTCAGTGTATGCATGATCAGATCGTTTTAAACAAATATCAAAATAGTTTTTACCAGGGCTGTGGAAAAACAATTCCCATTCGGAAATTTTGAACACAACTCTTGAGTGAGTCAGTGAGTATGGTTTTACGCCGCTTTTAGCAATATTCCAGCAATATCCCGGCGGGGGACACCAGAAATGGGCTTCACACATTGTACCCATGTCAGGAATCAAACCCGGGTCTTCGCAGTGACGAGCGAACGCTTTAACCACTAGGCTACCCAACCGCCCCCCAACTCTTGACCTATAGTGGGTACCCAGGTAGGGCTGGGAAATAGGTGTCAGGTACCAGGGTAGTAAATTTGAACTTTGAACCCAGCCCTAGTTCGATTGCTTGGTCATATGGACCTTTTGGTAGTTCAATAATCAGAAAACCAAAGTCCTTGCACAAGCAAAAAATCACTGGCTTTGCAGAATGGATTTAAGTTTACAGGTTCTCTGGATACAGCTCGGATAGAACCAGACATACATCTACAGACCTGTCACCGATCTGTTTGTCATAACACCAACAAAACAGTTTGTCATGACAATTTATTACAAATATGGTAAGATGAAAAATCACAGAATATGACATCAATATTCTTAACAAAACGACCTGTGTAAAGATGTACATAGTTCATAAAAGGACTACATGTATAATGTTTAGATATTACAACTGTCATATATAAAACACAGATTGTAAACAGTGAACATTTTCAGCTGATCCTTACAACATATCAAAACATAAGTTAAAAATGTCACAAAAATCAACAAGAATAATAATTGATACTAAAATAAAACAGCCATTTGATGTCAGTGCGAATGAGAAATATTCTCTTACAATTGATTTAGTTTGTTAAGCACACAGCTATTAAAATATTCCCCTTGTTGATCTCAATCTGATAACTAGTCACAAGGAACATTGTACCCAGCTCAACTGGGTATTCAAAGCATTGTGACCTATCATGCAATGTCATACAATCCACTAATGAATTTTGAGTAGGAAAATAGCTTTCAACAAGACAATTCTATAGTTTCATCAGGAATATTGACAAAACGGACAAAGTTATTATCAACACAAAGTCTGTGTAATAGCAACAGGGCCCATGTTAGGTATTCGGCAATAACGATGTAAATTTTAACGTAAGCTATCAGTTGCCTGGCGCTGTTCAATTAATATGTTCTGCTCAGTGCAGGTCCATTGATTGGTATACCGTCATACCAATTAAACCATATGTCTTTTGTTTGGGGAACAAATTACACAAAACTTAATTACAAGATCCAACAGACCTTGAGAGAGGCATCTGGCATTAATTTCAGCTGGCAGTAAAATTGTATGACATTACTGTATGCATGTTATTGGCATACAGTCCAGAAAAATACCAACCTCCTGACAGTGACTACAATGAGTTGGGTTCACACAGCCTGCCAATATGAGGAGACGAATTTGGATATCCATCTGCTGATATCTCAGCCAAGATGAGGGACAGAACTGTGTTTGACCAACACCAGTACTGTAACTACAGCCAAGTAAGAGAGTGAGTGAGTGAGTGAGTGAGTGAGTGAGTGAGTGAGTGAGTTAGGTGAGCGAGCAAGCAAGGTGAGCGAGTGAGTGAATATGTTGCAGAAAATAGTGTGAAAAGTTGTAACCTTAACTTGAAAAACAATTCCTTATAAAATCCCATGCTTCATTTGACTTACGAAGACGATACTCAGTTAAAATGCCAGCCTTTCTTAGAAGACGATGGGAGTTAAATGTCATCAAAGTATCCATGTCAGAACAGTTATGAGTGATCAATTGCACAAAATATCAAGCATAACTTGGCTACACCCAGCCGGCAAATCTGAAAACCCATGTTTGTCACCTAATTTGTATCAGCATGATCAGTGTGGTTGAAGATATTTCTAAGATACTAACAAATAAAATATGTCAGTGAATCTGTGCACCGAATATTATTCCACAGTGGAATCACCGTATTCCCGTTCCTGCATGAATACAGTCCAGGGCCTGTGTGGTCTGACTGCAATAACATACCCAATACAACACTTCCTGATCGGTGAGGTCCACATTAAAGTTCTATTGTATCTTAACAGATAAACCATGCATGAAACCTTTCCTCAACAATGATATTCTTAATAAAAGAACACGAGTGGCATTTCCAGGCTAACTTAACTGCAACGTTCCAATTTGGGATTCATTCAGTGCCGAGGTCTCGTCAGCGCTAATGGCTACATGTTATTGAGCAATAAATTCCCAGCTTCATTTATGTCACAAACAGCATCAATCTGAACATCATGAATTATGAACAATGGACATAAATAACTATCTGTGTAATTACTCTGAATAATCATGATCACAAATATGACAGATCTCATTACAAGAAATAGCTGGGACAGCCATTGTTAAAGATGTATTGTATGTTTGTCAAAGGGGCAATGTTCATAAATGATGAAATTTAAGCTTGTTAACAAAGGTTCAAAAGATTTAGAATTGAATTAAGAAAGATAGGAAGTGACTACAGAATATTGTGGACAAGGGGATGTTGACAAACTGGATAATTTGATTAAAAAAGAGTCCCTTTGGCATATCTTGCCCTGTCTTGTGAAGACATATTGAAGTGACTTTTAAACAATCTTGTAAAGATACATTGAAGTGACTTTTAAACAGTCTTGTGAAGACACATTGAAGTGACTTTTAAACAGTCTTGTGAAGACACATTGAAGTGACTTTTAAACAGTCTTGAGAAGACATATTGAAGTGATTTTTAAATAGACTTGTGAAGATACATTGAAGTGACTTTTAAATAGACTTGTGAAGATACATTGAAGTGACTTTCAAAATAGTTCAGAAATCCAAACTATAGCAGATTCAACGTGTGATGCCTGTAAATAACAGAACTAATATCAAAGTACCTAATTTGTAAGATGTGCCGCTTTGTCACTGGTTTCAATATTGTGAATTTTTTCTAGTGAAGAAATACTGAAGCTCCTGAAAAGAACATGGGAATTCTGGGATGAGTGAGTTGGGTTTAAGGCCGCTTTGAAGTGTTCCAGTTATATCACGGCGTGTCAGCTTAATGTGGGAGGAAAGACTGAAGTGATGCAGGTCTCAGATGTTTACCACTTTGGTGAAACCCACAAGCATGGATATGGTGCTGACAAACCTAGAAACAAAATCGGACGAACCGGGATTCGAACCCATGATCCCAGGTTTGTGGCATGCCCAAGGGACGCAACTCTTCACACCGTAATGTGGCGCCCCCGCAACTTTGCCACCCGTGCTCCATATTCTGGGATGAAAAAACTTCTTTACTTGTCGTAACAACTGACCATAAGAGGATTGGGTGGTCAGGCTCAGTGTCACCATGCCCTGATGATTGTTCGATGATCATGCTCTCAGTCACTAGTTTTTCTGGTTCAGAACTTCTGAAGCGAATGAGTGTTTGCAGATTTAATCTATTGTCAGCAATATTAAAGCTATTCACAGAATCTTATGATTTATTAGATCTAAGTTCCATGTTGCTGTTCTGGTCACAGCAACAATCTCAGTCAGATATTTAACTCCTAATTTTGTTTTAAAGTGAAGTTGACTTTTGCATTATTGCTTGCCAAAAGTCTCTAAGTTAATAATAGTGATCTCCAGATTTACTTCAACAAGCTATTCCTGCCGCGGATAAGTTTATCATAAAAATGAGTGTCACAAGTGAAACGGGTGCAAAACTATGAAATTCACGAAAATTAAGCTTTAAAGTTTGTAGAATTGTGTGCTGAATTATCAAAATTTGGTTTCAGAATCTAGAAAAATTGCCCACATTATTTTGAATTTTCGGCCGCGGATTACATCAGGGGCTGCACCCTGGCATCTGCACCCCCCAGGGAACAACATCAAAGGAGAATCTGTGTTGTGTGGGGTCTTTCTGTTGTAACAAATAAATAATTTCTCAATGGAGGTGGTGAATGCGAATTATTTGAGAAAGCTGACACCTAGATTGAACCCAATCCTCCTTAATTTAGATTGGATGGTCAAAGGTCACTCAGGGTTCCCCTCGAGTGACCTTCTATGGCAGCGTCCTCACATCCTGGCACAGGGAGGTGTCCTATGGGAGTGAAAGATCGGATTTTCATGAGGTGGCAATCAGCAGTAGCTGTGTGTTGGTGTCCTGACAGTCACCTTTAGGCCTTCCTCCAACATCAAGCTGACACACTGTGATATCACTGAACTACTGGTCAAAGCCATGTTAAACCAAACACACTAACTCACTCATTCACCCAAACACCCACCCATACTCCCACTCACTCACTCATCATCACCATCCCGCCCCAACCCCAGGCGAGATATTTAAAAAAAAAACTATTTTAAAGATCCGACGACCATAAAAGTTGGAAATAAGTGACAAGCAGTATCTATTTTAATTTGCAACAGACTGGGGCTTCATTCACCCACAAATCCCTCAGAAGTGAGGGTTTAAACATGTGTGCATATGAATGATAATAGAAACAAGATATAGATCAGTGACATTATTTTGTGAGATCTTCATGATAGATGAATGCTGCACCAATAAAAAATGTGATTAACTTGCTACTGCTAACAGCGTCTGACAAGCATCTACTGCTCCACATGGAGGCGTACTAATAGGCTTGCTGATAATGACTATCCGCGTGATCCCAACTTGCAATCCCTGAAGATCCCTGAAGATCATTCCTCACCGTGTGCAATCCAATAAACATGGTTGGAATTGTTTTCAAATAATCATGGTAGACTGAAGTAACTTGTTTTCTCGAACAGCTTTCACTTGTTCCATGAATTTTTTCAATCGCTCTTGATCAATTTCATTGGCCCAGTGTCCATCTCGTTTAAAGTGCGAACCGACGATCAGCCCGTGAGCTGACTTGTACTGTGCAATGTTGGCGGTTGTCACTCCTGAACCCACGAGCACTGGGATGTCGACACCAGTCAGCACACCTGGAATATAAACAATACACTATATACGCCATCAGTCAGCACACCTGGAATATAAACAATACACTATACACCTGGAATATAAACAATACACTATACACCACCAATCAGCACACCTGGAATATAAACAATACACTATACACCTGGAATATAAACAATACACTATACACCTGGGATATAAACAATACACTATACACCTGGAATATAAACAATACACTATACACCTGGAATATAAACAATACACTATACACCTGGGATATAAACAATACACCATACACCTGGAATATAAACAATACACTATACATCTGGAATATACACAATACACTATACACCAATCAACACACCTGTAATATAAACAATACACTGTACACCTGAAATAAAGTAGACATGGATATAATGAACATGGATAGAGTGAACAAACGGATACAACAAACTATTAAAAAATCCCGATTTATCACCTAAATAATATCATATAAAATTTACGTACATAACAAACTCTCTACAGCAAACAAACGTATACAGTGAACTGATATCTGATCACCAACAAGCCCATCTACCACTAATTAGTGACGTGTATAGCGAACTGAGAAATCTCTCAGTGTCAAGTGTCACTGACAATTGGCTGTACGCAATCAGCGGCGAATCAACACAATCACTAGTCACGATTCAACCTTGATAAACTTGTATTATGTTACTCTTACCTGTCCAAGAAATTGGACTCATGAAACCTTAAATGCCTTGAAACAAACTTTAGTTGCAAGAGAATGGATACATATATCATTAATACCATACTTTGACTCGTTAAAAGTCATATTTGAGGCAGTTTGACTATTCAATGTTAACATGACATTTTCGCAATCGAAATACATGGAGCGCGGGAAGTCCCTACTGTGACTGGTCAAATTGTTCCATACGTAGCAATATCCGGCAATAGCAATCACCTGCACCAAAGTGCTACGCTTATGGTTCTTATAAACTGAAATATATATAGTGAAAGCTGTAACTAAAATAACACGATATTGGAATATATTACTCTGATAAAATAATAATTTCAGATACAATTTCTTCTGACCATTGCATCAAAATGTTGTATCATTGGGTACTTCTTAACTGAATCACCAGTAGATGGGGGAGGAAACGTGTACAAACATGTATGTGTAGCATGTTTTGTTTCAGCCAAGATCGCGGACGTTTCCGAGTGAAAATGTATGTAACAAACAACATATATAACAAACTGATTTCTCCAATCCCTTGTAGTTTGTTATATCCATGTTCTACTGTATTTGAATTGTGCATGTAGGAATATGTACTGAACCGCAAAAGAAATGTCACCCCAAGTAACAATGCATGCAAAGTTGTCATTTTAATATCTGGGTAATTTTTGTCAAAGTTTCTAAAATTTAACATTACCTTGTCCAGAAAAATGAAATTAGATGATAAAAAAAAAAGCGGATGACAATAAAACCGATCACCCAAACGCATCAAAGCAATGGCCATCGTAACCTGATGCACGTGAGTTGCATACAAATTGAAATGCACATGCGTTCCCCCGTTCTTTTCCCTATATAAATCCACCCAGATCGGATAACATTCATTCGTTATTGAATCGCTACCACATGCCAAGATTGACAAGAAATCAGCGACACCAAGCCCTTGGACGATTGCAAGCTGGACAAACCGCCCGGCAAGTAGCCAATGTATTTCAAGTCCACGTAAGGACCATATAAAAGGCTCCAGCAACAGTACCAGACCACCAAAACTACAGATGACCGACCACGTAGTGGAAGACCAAGGATTGTCAGATTGTGCGACAGCATCTTCAAGATCGCATTGTTACTGCTGCGGAAACTGCTCGACAGACCATGGGGACACACCAGCAACGATTAACGAGCAGACACCTCGACTGTCACAGGCCATATCGAGGACCCATTCTGACACCACGTCATCGTCAGGACCGTCTTCAGTGGGCAACACAGCACCAGCATTGGTGCCACCAGCAGTGGAGAAGAGTCCTCTTCTCAGACTAGAGCCATTACTGTTTTTCAACAGCAGATTGCAGAGAGAGAGAGTCTGGCGACGCCGTGGGGAACATTATTCGGATGCTTGTGTTGTTGAGAGAGACTCGTGCGGTGGTCCAAGCATCATGGTGTGGGGTGGAATTGGCCTTGCACAGAGGGTCAGCCCTGTGGTCTTCCAGAACATCGGTCCAGGGAGAGGCAATGGTGTCACTGCAGCTCGGTACATTGATCAAGTCTTGAGAACACATGCCATACCTCATTTGGCACGTCGCCGCAACCATGAGTTTCAGCATGATAATGCCCGTGCCCACACTGCGAGAGCATCAAGAGACTCCCTCCAGCAGAATGGCATCAGAACCATGCAGTGGCCTGCCCTCAGTCCCGATTTCAATCCCATTGAGAACCTGTGGGACGAGATTCAAAGACTGCTGCATGACGTCCGACCAAGGCCGACAACTGCAAGTTGAACTGCGTCAGGCGTTCCTCAGAGTGTGGGCTCAAGTGCCTATGGCCTTCATCAACCGCCTCATCCATTCCATGTATCAACGTTACACGGCAGTCATCAATGCACATGACGGACACACGAGATACTGACTTGTGATACCCTTTCCTCAGAGACTAGTGTTGTGTTTCACTTTAAGAACATTTGGCACTTTAATGATCAGTTTTGCCAAGTTTCATTCTCAAAGTATGTTTACAATGTTTGGACAAATAAGGTTTCTCATATATCTATCCATGGTGACGTTTTTTTTGCGGCTCAGTATATTATATACATGTAGTGTATTGTGTTTTGTTTTAGCCAAGATGGCGGAAGTTTCCAAGCGAAAAAGTATATAACGAACAGCGTATCTAACGAACCAATTTCTCCCTTGTAATATCCATGTTCTACTGTATAAACAATTCACTATACACCTGGAATACAGTATAACATGGATATAATGAACTACAAGTGACCCGAGAAATCATTTTGTTATATATGTTGTTCACTAAATATGTTTGCGCTCTGAAACGTCCGCCATCTTGGAAAACACAAAATACAATACACGTAACTTGCAGCATTGATTTCTTTTAGCGGTGAGCACTTCATAGCATTCAATTAATAACATTTGATAACATTCATTTAAGAACATTTAATTCATAACTATTTTAGCACTTGTTTATCAAATATGTAAAAAGCATTTCACATGTGGGAAGATGTGTAGTCTGGGATTTTGATCTGTCCTCGTTTTGCTGACTGCATTCGTGAAACTACCTCATCGAGATCAGCCAAACTATCAAATGATGTCATCTGAGTTGACTTTTTGCATATTCAGGAAAATCTTGAGTGTTTCAAGATACACCAGTCAATATATCTTGAAAATAGTTGACAGCAGCAGGGAAACACAATCGCTTTTAGGAAGTTAGTTTTCGTCCATGATGAAATCAAATTACCCTAATGATTTATAATCTAAATAATCAAACATAGATTTCAAAACAAAACTCCATTAATACATTATACGCTGTTTCCATACCAACAACATTTGTTACATCGTTTACCCCAAGATCTATAACAATATCTCCTGTAGGTACAGCATCTAGACTAGTCATCCAACATAAATCTACCTGTTAATGTTACAAGGCCTCATGCGTGCGAGACAATTAAGATCTACTTAGATTCCATATTTAATAGCAGACTCATTAGTCAGAAGAGTTCCTGTAACCCAGATGCTGAGGATAATGGCTGCAAGCAGTTATTTCCAGATACTGATTCTGACACCATCAAAACCGATGATAACGCTCACTTAGACAGTCAGTGAACCAATCGCACATCTATTTTCAAATAACTGAAGCACATTCTGAATAATTCACTGCTTGAATTAAGAGATTAAACGCAATACATGTCAAAGAACTTAACAGTGTGAACGTCGTTACATCTATTATCAGATTTTGTCACAGCAGGAGCCAATTACCAAGGAGCAGACAGCAAGAGCATCTCATATGACCGGACCCAAAATAGTTCAGTATCTCTTTGATGCAGAACAATGGTAAAATAAGGTTTGAATTTAAACAAGAACAATCAGTGTTAGAAATTGTAGCTAGTCCTATAGTCCTTGCCAAACTGCCCAATAGTTGAAGTATCATAAGGACTAGTAGACATTTGCCCACTTTAAGGGTTTTGCTACATGTTATCATTATAAGAACTAGTGGACTAAAACAGTTTGTTTCTATCACTGAAAATGATTACCGAAGCTGCTATATGAAAATCTGAAGTAGTTTGTTTATTGTTTAATGCTGCAATATTCCAGCTATATGACTGTGGTCAATAAATAATCGAGTCTGGACTAGACAGTTGAGTGATTGACATCATGGTTATCAATCTACGCAACTGGGATAGAATGACATGCATCAACCAAGTCAGTGAGTCTGACCACCTGATCCCGTTAGTCGCCTCCTACGACAAGCATAGTCGCCTTTTACGGCAAGCATGGGTTGCTGAAGACCTATTCAACCCTGGATCTTCACGGGTCAGATGAGAAATTAAATTAACAACATGCAAGTAGACAAACTGACGTCAAGTTCTAGATCAGCAGAACTAAAGAGAGCTTTGTGTTACTACTCCAACTGAAACCAATACGACTCTGAAACACCCAGTGAATAAGGTGAGGTGAAATGGGGTTTAACGTCGCGTCCAAGATTATCGCACTTATATAGCGACTTGCATGTTCGTGTGTGTGTGTGTAGCTGCTTGTACTAGTCCGGACTGATGCCGATTTATAGTGCTAGCTCACTGAGATACCATGCCGCAGTTTAACATGAATACCCACTCAGACACAGTATACTGACTCCGAGCCGAGCAATGCTTGTTTTAGCCCCTTAATGCTGAGCGCCAGAGAGGGTAACAACAAGTACCATCTTTTAACGTCTTTTGGTATGACTCGGCCGGGGATCGAACTCCGGACCTTCCGCTCTCCGGGTGGACGCTCTACCACTAGACCACGGAGGCGGTCCCCAGTGAATAAGAAATAAACAGAAATGGTAAACAACACAAGTCTTTGAAAATGCCTGAAACAGTATCACACTGCAACATATTTGCAACTAAAGGTTCATGCGTCACTTCATATATGACACAAGTTTACCATGTACGACATGACTAGAAGAATTGCTTCCTAAGGTTTATCAGTCTTGAATGAGTAAGGTTTCAGTCGGACCTGATTTTATTGGGATAAAAGTGGACTAGGTAGTGTTGTTGTTGTTATTTAATGCTGCAGTCAGCAATATGGTATATGAGGGCGGTCTGTAAATAATTGAGTCTGGACCAGGCAATCAAGTGATTGATATCATGATTATCGATCTATGCAACTGGGAAAAGATGACATGCATCAACCTAGTCAGCAAGCCCGACCACCTGATCCCGTAATTTGCCTTTTACAACAAGCATAGTCGCCTTTTACAGCAAGCATGGGCTGCTGAAGCCCGATGCTAACCCCGATCTTCATGGGGGACAAGCATGGGCTGCTGAAGCCCTATTCTAACCTGGATCTTCACAGGGGACAAGCATGGGCTGCTGAAGCCTAAGGCTAACCCCGATCTTCATGGGGGACAAGCATGGGTTGCTGAATTCCTATGCTAACCCCAATCTTCACTGGGGATAAGCATGGGTTGCTGAAGCCCTATTCTAACCCGGATCGGGGGGGGGACAAGCATGGGTTGCTGAAGTCCTATTCTTATCCGGATCTTCATGGGGGACAAGCATGGGCTATACTATAAAATATTATGCAAATTATTTTCACTTCATGCAGGAACAATAACGTGTTGCTTTGGGAAAAATTCAACACAATCAAGTACACTTTTAAGTGAGGTACAAGCAATTTCATAAATGCATAGAATTTCCAGTCCTGATGTGCAATTTGCATAAATATGATCTCAAAGAATAGATCATCTTATCAACATCTGTTTGTATTCAATAGGTCATAAATGAAAATTCTATCAATTTAATTGATAATTTTGAAATTTACGACTATTTGAAATTAAGCTAATATGGTGAAAGATGACAGTTACATAAATTCATATTAAAATTCTTATGCTAATACTTTAAAAAAGGCCATCCTAATGTAATTAAAACAGCTTGATTCACAGCCATTAATATTCAGCCACTGAAGCTCGACTTATAAATATATTCAATTATGTAAACCGACAAGCGAACGAATTAATATTTAAGGATTGATTTTGATATATTGTGAGTCCATTAGAGCATGAGCCTTCATAGAGTGAAGGTCAAACTGTTATTACATTTTCATGTGTTTACACGAAATACGTCTATCCCATTGGACAAGAGGACAGTCACATGACCGCCTAATTTACATTCATAAGTGTATGAACGACACAATTTGACGTTCATATGTTTTTCATAATACTGTATTCTTGAAATGATGTAAACACTGACGGACTTCTTCCACACGGATACAAACAGAAGCGTTGTTTCTGATCATTTAGACGCTTTAATCGTGAACTCAACATTTCAGTATACATTGAGAAATGTCAGAGAGTTTGACTGCATGATCGTTCACGAATATCCTCGCTTCGACCCATTCTAGTGAACAAAACAAAGAAATGCACATCCAAACTATCATAGTATCGACTCGATCCGCGTCTTGGCTGACAGTGACAGTCTAATGCAATCTATGAATTTACCTTAGTATCTATTTGACACATCTTTAATCACCTTTCAATGATCAGCCAATTGATCAATGATGACTTAAAATATGTAACCGCCACAGGTTCATTAACAACTTCGGAAATCTCTCCCGTCACATTTATCGTGTCAGCCATTTTGACGTCTTGAACTTGATGTAAATGTATTACGACGTGCTGTCATTGTGACTGACTTACTGAGGTAGTTCTTAACAGACCTTTCTCATCTGATGGTGATATTATTTGAAGACGTGTTGTATAAGATGTTTCTGAAGAGCAAGTTGTGCATACATACGCTCATGTCACCTCTCTTTTTAAGGAACTATTTTATTCCGGGATAGAACTGGTTGTTGTATGGCTGTCTGTAAACCTGAAGTCACACGTACCAAATAAAATTGTGTATACATCTCGGCCTACAACCTCTGAGGTAAGAAATTGTGATAAAAAATTATAAGAATTGACTTTCACTTTGTGTCAGTTCATTGGAGTATAAACCTTAAGAGAGTGAGGGCCAAGCTCCGACGTTCATACAGTTTGGCCCTCACTCTATGAAGGCTCATACTCCAATGAACTCACACAAAGTGAAAGTCAATTCTTAATGAACATCAGAGTTGGCAAAGCTTCTTCAGTTTTTTACCCTGAACAATTTACATAAAAAATAACAGTATAAAAAATATAATGCCTTCCAACACATATTTGAAATAAATAATGTTATGAAAACCTGATTAATTTTTAGGGCCCAACATATCACTTACCAAAATATGCTTTTGAAATTTAATTTTGATGTTAATTACTTACCCTACGGTTTCAAAACAATAAATTAATATCAAGATTGGACCCAGTTTTGTAGTGTGAAGTACTAGTAATATAGACAAAATCACACATGGAGAAAGAGCTATGAATAAATTACCTGGCTACTTCCCGGTATTTCATTACAAGTCCCACAGCAAGATGCTGTGGGTATTCTGCAAGTGTTATACGGTTGACCCCTCAGAAATGAGGTAGTGTGTCCCACTGGGTACAGCCTTTTGTCCCAATTACAATTTGTCAGTTCTACAAATTCTCAGAAACGCTTTCCATTTCAAGTTTTAAGGGGTTTGGTCCATTACTTCATGAAACTTTTGTTAATCTTATCATGTAGATGGTAAAACTGTGAGCCAAAAACATTTATCTGTAGCTTGTGTTGTGCCTACAATTGTCAATATCGTTGCATATTCGAGAAAACACATCTTCCTGAGGCAAGGGCGTTAACTGACTATAACTGTCCAGTTTCCACACTTGCCGAACTAGGCTGGAATTTCATGGCTCAATCATAGCGCCACCAGTGGCTATTACGAGATGTGTCTCTTCTATGTCCCTCCTATTGACCAATAAGATACCATCTCTCATATCGCTTGCACTTGCTTCAAACAAAATGGCAGGGCCAGTCAAGAGGATCAAATCGATAATCAAAATCTATATTGTGATAAAACCGTTCTTACTTCACGAAGTACATCAAATCAGGTGAGCACCTTGATTAAAAATATCTGTCGACGCCGAGTTGATTGTACACATGTTTTGCAAATACTGCAATTGACTGAAATCTGCTGGGCAGTTTACGAACCGGATGTCGATTTTGTTACATGACTTTGATTGGACTATGCATATCCTCGTTAGTCTAACCAAACTATAACACCATAATTCCAGCTGAGTTCGGCAAGGGTTGAAACTGGACTTTAATAGACAGTTACCTCCCTTGCCTCGAGAAGATGTATTCCCCGACATTTGACAATGAGAAAATCTTTGACACAAATTCTTATTTTTGTATAGTTGAATGAGTGAGTGAGTATATTCCTGCAATATCACGGCGGGGTACACCAGAAATGGGCTTCACACATTGTACCCATGTCGGGAATTCGGCGTGACAAGCGAACGCTTTAACCACTAGGCTACCCGACCGCCCCTTTGTATAGTTGAAATGTAGGCAAGGATATATGAGGGAAGATGCATCACGGGTTAAAGACTAGTTCAATGTCAGGTTTTCTCCAAAATCCGAATTGTCTGCACTCATTTTCGACTTCCTTCCAGCATTGATCCTGTTCAAAAACTTGCAAGTAGCGGAAAGATGAAAAATGTGAAATCAACTAAATGTTTCTCACACACTTTAAAACTTGTCATTCCCAGTGGGCTTTAAAGTATACCCCTTGCTTTAGCCTCCTAATGCTGAGCGCCAGGCAGGATCAGGATCACAACAAGTACCATCTTTTCATTTATTTTGGTATGACGAATCTGGGGATGGAACCACTTCCCTTCCTCTCTCCAGGCAGACACTCTATCCACTACACCATGGAGGTGGTCACTTAACATGGAACTAATGTAAATATGTACATTTAACAACACGACTGCAAATATAACCTCCACAAATATTGACCAACAATACAAAATGTGTCTGTATCCCACCTGCCACTTCCTGAGTGCTGGCAGCCATTCCTGTAGCGCCGCCTGTAACCACGACGCCATCGCTGAGGAAGAACTCCGCTGCCTTGGCCGTCTCGACAATGCTGACATCATCAGTGATAGCATGGGCACTGGAATAGGGACACACACAGTGGGTCAGTGTTGTCATACGTTCCTCTCAACAATACAACAGTGGTGTTCATCTTCAATACGTGATGGACAAAGTGAGTGAGTGATACCATGAGCAAAGATTCGTGTCATCAGGGCATGATGACACACAATCAGGTTACACATTGTAACCATGTGCATTTGATCCCTGAGTGAGTGAGTGAGTGAGTGAGTGAGTGGGTGGGTGGGTGGGTGAGTGAGAGAGTGAGTGGGTGAGTGAGTGAGTGAGTGAGTGAGTGAGTGAGTGAGTGAGTTTTTAACAATATTCCAGCAATATCAAGGCAGGGAAGACTAGATTTGGGCTTGACACATCTTATGTCTCATTGATACCCACATAATCACTGGCCAATATTGGAGTAAATATCTTTAAATAGACATCCAATCTGCCACTATGTCTAATATTGTCGGAGTATAGATAGTTGGGAGATCGGATTTTCTTCATCTCCTGTTACCAATAACCACCCCCAAGATTTGCCTAGATGAACGACGATGAAATGTATGCAAAGTTAATAGACACAGGGGACTCATATTCCATATCTTCTTCACTTGCTTTCTGAGTGAACTCTTGTCATGACACATTGCAGCTACAAATGGCCACTTCCATGGATGATTGGCGTGTAAAAGCTTTCCTGAATAACAGCCTGGCTGATGGACAAGGGTTAGTCTGGTCACCTTCCACCCATTGTACACATTAGGCTGGGGATTTAATTACACTCAGGCCATAATGTCATCATTCAGACAGGGCTTCATCATTGCTGCTTTTGTCCAAACATAAAACATATGTGGCTACATACAAAGTGCTAAGCCTATGGTTAAAATATCAGTTTAAATATGCGTAACAATCTCTACAACTAACATAACATGGTATTGGAATGTGTTATTCCAGGTGAAATAATAGCATCACATACAATCTCTTCCAATCATTGCATCAAAGTACTTTTAAGTTATTTTATTGGATTTTTTTTATTGAATCACCAGTAGATCTGGGAGAAAATGTGTGAACAGCTGATTGCTTTTTCTAGCTTGGTTTAGGAGATATATGCACACAGTGATCTTAATCTCTGCATATAAACAATGCCGAACAGAACTGGAAGTATAATTGAAATTGTAAATCATCATGTGATGTTTTATTGCAAATGTCACGTTTTTATTGACCAAGTTTGTCATCTTCTGTTAGTTCACCTGATGCAGTGCAATGTAGTTTTTGCTGTGCGTAATACTCGAAAAAATCTGTTCTCCTGTTCTGTTGTTGTTGTTGTTGTTGTTGTTGTAGCTGTTGTTTGTTAGCCGCATTGAGCAATATTCCAGCTATATGACGGCGGTCTGTAAGTAATTGAGTCTGGACCAGACAATCCAGTGATTGATATCATGAGCATCGATCCACGCAACCAAGTCAGCAAGTCTGACCATCCAATCCCGTTAGTCGCCTTTTACGACAAGCAAAGTCGCCTTTTACTGCAAGCATGAGTTGCTGAAGACCTATTCTACCCCAGATGTTGATGGGTCGTCCTCCTGTTCTGAATATTCAAAGTTGTACACAAGAATGTAAGTGTCCAGTTTTGTGGGTGATAATCTGAGTAGGACAAAGACAAAATAAAATGTGCTGAGTCAAGGAGTTTTGAGAAAGTCGGACAGGAATGAGTGAGTGAGTGGGTTGGGTTTAATGCCGCTTTTAACATTATTCCAGTTATATCACGGCGTGTCAGCTTAATGTGGGAGAAAAGCCCGAAGTGATGCAGGTCTCAGACGTTTACCACTTCGGTGAAACCCACGAGCACGGGTATGGTGCTGACAAACCTAGAACCATAATCGGGGCGAACCGGGATTCAAACCCACAATCATAGGTTTCTGGCGTGCCCAAGGGACGCAACTCTGTACAGCAAATCGCGGCGCCTTAGACGACTGGGCCACCTGTGCCCCCCGGACAGGAATGAGAAACCAGTTATTAATTTATATCACCTAATGATTTGTAAATAGAAAACAGACATTTAATATCATTAAAACTGAATAAAAATATGGCATCTCATACTCTGACACTCACCAAAAAGTCAACTCGACAATGTCTAGCAAGTCTTAAACAAATTTCAACTGCTTTTTTTGACAATAAAAAAAGACAATATGCTTTTTCGTATACATTTCATTTTTAAACCTAAATATATGTGTGGCCTTTAGTTTAATTTGTACAAAAAGCCCTCTTAAAGTTTTTTTTATAACTAACATCCTAGTAAACCAGTTGAGCACAGCTTCTCTTTACTGGCCAAGTATCAGACTGGTTTTAACTTTCATCTCAATGAAAACCAGAGTGTTTCTATTTTATGGTGACTGATGAAACACAAAAGGGAAACAGCACATTTTCATGTCGCATATACTTTGAAAAGGAATAAGAATACCGACACTGATATCCATTCTTGACATCTGATATTTAAAATACTGAAGGAAAACTGCCTACATGCAACACTACTCTGTACACTTCACATCAGCTACACATTTCTGCATAAGACAAAGAAGGACAACTCTCACACCAGGCAAAATATAGTTTAACCACTAAAAAATGTTGCTGCCTAAAGCTATTTTTCAGAAGTCATTCTTCAGAAACTGATTGTCTTCATTTTTTCAGAATGGATTTTAATGGCTTGCATGTCTGTAATCTACCATCTGGACAAGAAATCAAGTCATACTTTCAGCAGACTTTCAACCATAAAACATTTCAAGAGAAAGTTTACCTACTATTATGATGTGATGTGGGAAAAGATGGCAGATTTTACCTATGTTTCTTCTTGATGTCTGTGAACACAAGGACATTGTCGGCGTCGATATGTTTGCGATATCGGAGCACTTCCCCTGCACAAGCGTTCATCAGGCCCTCGTCAGCGACGTGCGAGAAAACAAAACCCTCAGCTCTCACAAACTGCAACTCTGAGAAAGTTTAAAGATGATGAGTACAGAACAACTATCTGCATGAGTGAGTGAGTGAGTGAGTGAGTGAGTGAGTGAGTGAGTGAGTGAGTGAGTGAGTGAGTGAGTGAGTGAGTGAGTGAGTGAGTGAGTGAAGTGAAGTGAAGTGAAGTGAAATGGGCTTCACACATTGTACCCATGTGGGGAATCGAACCCGGGTCTTCAGTGTTACGAGCAAACGCTTAAACCACGAGGCTACCCCAACGCCCCTTATCCTGACTGAGGGAATGGTGATTAATGCCACAGACAACAATATTCCAGCTATTTCAGGGCGGCATGTAAATAATCTGCATCTGGATCAGACAATCCAGTGATGAGACAATCACACACCACTGGGGCACGATGACATGTATTCCACAAAGTCACCGAGTCTGACAACCTGATTCCAAGTCTGAGTTGGCTTTAATGCCACTTTTGTCAGTATTCTATTTATATCACAGCGTGTCAACTTAATGTGGGAGGAAAGCGCAAAGTTATGCAGGACTTAGGCGTTTACCAATTTGGTGAAACCAATGAGCCCGGGTATGGTACAAAAGAGAGTGAGTGAATGAGTATGGCTTTACTCCGCTTTTAGCAATATTCCAGCAATATCATGGTTGGTGACACCAGAAATAGGCTTCACACATTGTACCCATGTGGGGAATCAAACCCAATCTTCAGCATGACGAGTGTAGTATTTCATATATATCATGGCATACAGCCTAATGTAGGAGGAGGGGCGGTCGGGTAGCCTAGTGGTTAAAGCGTTCGCTTGTCACGCCGAAGACCCGGGTTCAAATCCTGACATGGGTACAATGTGTGAAGCCCATTTCTGGTGTCCCCTGCCGTGATATTGCTGGAATATTGCTAAAAGCGGCGTAAAAACCAAACTCACTCACTCACTCACTAATGTAGGAGGAAAGATGAAAGATGCTTGAAATAGTCCGGACCGATGCCAATTCATGGTGCTAGCACACTGAGATACCACCCGCAGTTTAACATGAATACCCCACTAAGACACAGTATACTGACTCCGAGCCGACCAGTCCTTGTTTTAGCCCCTTAATGCCGAGCACCAGACAGGGTAACAACAAGTACCATCTTTTAACATCCTTTGGTATGGCGCGGCCGGGGATCAAACTGCAGACCTCCGCTCTCCGGGCGCACGCTCTACCACTAGACAGATAGAGACCTCATGACAATGCATTATCAGCATAAAACAGTTGCAAGAACAACAACTCTCAACTTCACCTCACCCTTTGTTCTCACACTTTGATGTTTATATCCCAATAAAGTACCGTCACTCTTCCTGCTACTTATAAACATGGCAAAACAATTTGGGGCATATGTTCCACTTGATAATTACAGGTCATAAATGTGCACTACAATCTACCAATTACACTTTAAAAAAAACATTCTTGTACTTTTTACCATGCCAGGAAAGAACTTAATAGTGTACGTGATTGTCTTAAAACGCTCAAAAAATCATCCCCAACTTAAGAGAGATGAGCATTGTTGAAAGTGGGCACCACTCAAGCCAGGAATGATGAAAAAGAACATGAAAAAAGTGAAAAAGTTGAACAAAGCCATTTCTTAAATAGTGCTTAAAAACATGTAAAATATTTTAGAGAGAAGCGCAATATTAGGGGCAAGAAACAAAGAGGATTATTTCATAAGCCTTTGCATGGTAACAAACATCTCGCCACCTCTTCTTTATACCGGGAAGTATAGTCTGGAGGGTAATTTGGTAAAGGTAACACACGTTGAGACGCCCAACGCTAACACCGTATTCGTGCGTGCGTGATTCCCGTGCAACCTTTCGACTGTCATATGGGCGTCATATGACCCTGTGACGCAGGGGTAGCATTATGCAGATGGCTGTTTCAATGAATGCTCGTTCCACCCATGACGAACAGGTCTGGTTGTTGATGAAATATAGTGATAGCTAAATAGACAGATTTTTTATTCATGCACCGATTGACCGATTGTCTTTAAATGTAATATCCAGTTATGTATGACTGTTTAGTAATCTCATACCAACTTTGACTGGAGTAGGTCCGATAGTTTTTCAGATATTGTAGTAAACGTTGGTACCTTAAATTCCCTTCCAGACTATACAATGGCTTATAATCACAGGGCAGATAGAGGGACAGCTATGAAAGGGGGGTAACTTTGAGATCTGTGCTGGAGTATTGCTAAAACACAGCAGGTATTTTTACCAGCCTCAACACAAATATGGGGATATTTTATGAGTGCTTCAATTCGCAACCTCCTCAACTGAGTGTTTGCTTTTCTGATGCTGTGAACAGGAAACACAATATAAAACTATTCACAAAATAAAAATCTCAAAAAATGTCAAATAGTAACCTACATTATTCCGTATTTTACTCAAGTGTTACAAATACAAATACTATAGGTACTCATATTTCTTTCAATAATGTACTGCTGTATAGCACTGCAATCTTTACAGTATATATTTACTTTATATTAAGACATCACATTAATCTGTGGAAACATCAAGGCTAGATGCTAATGTTATCCCAAGATGTTACTCTGAAAGGAAGAATTTATAAATAGCGAGCTTAGTTCATTGAAAGATTTATTCACACCCAAGATGTATCTAGCAGTGGATTACCTCCCTTTGACCATGCGCTCAGTGGCTGCTCTGTCTTGTTCAAAGTTCAAAGGATGAATGCAACAAGTATTTACCTCTCTGAGGCAAGTATTGAGGGTGTCTATCCCCCTTCCCAAGGCAACCCAGCATACCACTTATTTTGTCTCCGCATTGAATTTAAGAAGAACTCTATATCAGTGTACGTGATGAGCCAGGGTAGCATCGGGCTTCAGTAGCCCATGCTTGCCGTAAATGGTGACTATGCTTGTCGTTAGAGGCGACTGATAGGATCGGGTGGTCAGGCTCGCTGACTTGGTTGATGCATGTCATTATATCCCAATTGAGTGGATCGATGCTCATGATGTCAATCACTAGATCATCTGGTCCAGACTTGGTCCAGAGCGCGGCGTTAAACAACAAACAAACAAACAACAAAACAAGTAAATTAGACTGGGATGTACACATAGAATGCATGACCATGCTTGGTAATAAGCTTAGTGCTAAATATGTTCATGACTTTTACTCTTTGCAAGAACAAATATATTATATCCTTGAAATATTGGCATCTGCATACAAGATAAGCATGTCATGCCTTGGTTTGGTTGGTTGGTTGGTTTGTTGTTTAACGCTGCACTCAGCACTATTCCAGCTATATGACGGCGGTCTGTAAATAATCGAGTCTGGATCAGACAATCCAGTGATTGATATCATGAGCATCGATCCACGCAATTGGGATCGATGACATGCATCAACCCAGTCAGGAAGCCTGACCACCCGATCCCGTTAGTCGCCTTTTACGACAAGCATAGTCACCTTTTACGGCAAGCAGGGGTTGCTGAAGACCTATTCTACCCCGAATCTTCACGGGTCTCATGTCATGGCAACACGCTTACAGCACTGCAGCATCTTGAATACCACTCAACAGGGCTCGGCATCCGGCCTACTGCACTGTGGCATCCGGTGTACGAAAAAGGGGTATTGTATTTATAAGGGTGAGTGAAATGAGTGGGTATGGTTTTACGCCGCTTATAGCAATATTCCAGCAATGTCGTGGCAGGGGACACCGGAAATGAGCTTCACACATTGTACCCATGTGGGGAATCGAACCCGGGTCTTCGGCATGAAGAGCAAATGCATTAACCACTAAGCTACCCGACCGCCCCAGTATTGTAAGGTCATGTATAGATCAAAATGATAGATAATGAGGATGAGGGATGATTCATGAGGATGTCAACCCACCCTCCCATGAACACAAAATGCTACTTCAGACAAATCTGAACAACATTGAGGAAAGGGTGCAATTTAAAGTTAAATTACTGAAAACATTTCATAAAAAAATAAGTGTTACATACACTATTATTATTTGTTAACATGCTGAATCTGCGTTATCAATATGATTTTATTGGCATCCCGCTTACCACACTGTTAAGTCAAAAATACCCTTTAAATATACCCTGAATCAAGGGTGCCAAAAGGGTGGGTAGCCGTACACATGATATATATGGGGCTCCTGGGAAGTGTTGAGTTTTCAAATTTCTCTGAAACCTGATAAAAAATCATAAGCCTATTAACCAAATCACAGAGTTGTCTCCCTTACACCATGAGGCATTGGAAAGATCATGCAGACAAGGGTATCATATTTCAATTATCTACATATCATTTTAAGTACAACCTCATCAGTAGTGTAAAACTTCTGAACATCTTATTCTTACACAAAAAGAATGGAAAAATGAACAATGAATTTGCTGAACGCAAATAAGAACAAAAACATGAATTACCTCCCTTTGACCACCAGTCACAAGGCCCCTACTCTAAGTCTGGGGCTGGGATGGGTGACTCGGGTACTCAGGTCAATCTGGAGTATGACCCGGGTACCCACAGGACTACCCAGACCCGTGGTTAGTCATGTGATATATTGTTTAATGATAATAAGAAAAAAACTCCATTGTTACACTACAAGTCACTAATGTTTGCATTTCTTTCTGACAATGCACACATTCCTTCTGACTCTTATATATAAGAGAGTAATTATAAGGCTTCAGCCAACCTGAATGTGCAGGTAACGTTTATTACATGTATCTAAATAGTGTTTGCAAGAGCTGCGGCTAAAAACACTTCCCAATCAGACATTGTGTACCCATCTTTTGAGACCTACAGTGGTTACCTGGGTGGGGTACCCAGGTAGTAAATATGGACCCGTACCCTGCTCCTGTCATAGCAAATAGGAATAGAATTATCTCCCTTTGACCACAAGTCACAAAACCTATACTCCCGTCATATGACAGGCTAATTACAGAAGAAAAAAGAAAGTTTATAATTATTTCAGTCCAGTGAACTAAAACCCACTCTGGCTTAAAGAAAAACAGTAAATCCTGCTCATCTGTGCTTAAAAAAACATATGTGTCAAGACATATGTGAAAGAAATATCACAAACAGGAACAGTGAAACGGACTACTTTAGTCCGGATCTGGTTAGTTCGGAAATCCCATTTGTCAGATGATTTCCCTAAGAATGTCTTCTTGTACACAAAGGACGTTCTTCTGTAACAATATTTCATTCATCCAGGAACATTTTGTCTAGACAATTTTATTGGCAACTGTATGATCTGGATTAACAAGGGTTCAATGTTCTGAATATGTTTGAGATCTTATTCATCATAAATTATCAACACATATATATTCTAACGAAAATAATCTTTCACAATTCTTTGAAAAGTAGACCTACCTGCTGCTTTAGCTATAGCAAGAGCCTGCTTGTTGGCGCCAGCCAAGACCTGCACCCCCACAGGACCGGGGTAGAACACCCTCCTCACCTCCGCACAGATGACCGACATGGCAGCGGTGATCTCTGGCCCCACCTGACTTGTATGCATATACGGAACATCATGCATGTTCTCCAGCATTATACCGTCCTGTAATATTCAGTAATCACGTACAGACCATGATTAACACCTGAGTTGTACTAAGAAGTCAGAAGGTAGGAAAGACATATGGTGACCGATATTCGGCTCCAAGTCTACAGGAGCTGTCAGTTAAAATTCTTAACTGGCAATTACAAATTTCTCAATTCAAGTTGCTACAGTTTTTCCTAATGCTATGGTTCAGCAGAGAAACTTTTGTATGGCAAATAAAGAAGTAGGGGTTCATGTTCAGTTTTTCATTACCACATTGAATGCAAAATTTAAACAATCTCTGAATTTATTTAAACACAAGAACTATAAACATATTCCAATTTTGAACAAAACGTTTTGTCCAAGTTTGCCGGCCAAGGGAATTATTTTGGAATTCTAGATAATTCCCATTTTTTTCATGAATTCAGTGTAATTTATAAGGTTCTTTTACATAAAAACATACAGTTAGCATATAATCATATGTAAGTACACACGAGAAAATACCTTCAAAATAAATCTTAAAACATTAACACAAAGTATTAAATATAAAATTGGTCAAACAGTACACATTAGTCAAACAGTACACATTAGATAAACAGGACATTGACTAGTGTCATTGCCATTATGAATTGTGAATAAATCTTAGAAACCTGCAAATAGTGACACATCAAAGTTTGCATCTCCACACAGAGTTTTAACTTTCACACTCTGAGTCTTTAAGCAATGAAAACATTGGAAATCAACATTTTCAAATGTCTTCCCATGCATAAATATTTGTTTAACCTGAGACATATGTAACTCTTTTAATTGAACATAGCCTCAAGCAGGATTAACCAGAGTGTTTAAAACAATGGACAAAGAAAACACCAGCTTACCACTCCCACATCCTTGTAAAGCTTTGCCTCATTTAGGGCCGAGTTAAGGATCTCCTTCATTGAGTACTGGTATCTGGGGGTTCCTATAAAGACAGTGGCAGTAAGTCCATGGATAAACACACTCAGACATCACAGGGAAGAGGCTGATCTCATTCTAACAGTGTACAATATAAGGAGCAGAAGGTGACTTCCTCAGAAACATCCTAGTCGTACGGCCATACAGTCACACAGGTACACAGTCGTATAGGTAAGACACAAAATGGGATTTCTCATCTTATTGGACTTTTTTGAGAATATTCAATGGTCAGTTTTGAATTGTAAATGTATTATGCATTAATGTTTGGATTTGAAATCCTCCATTTCACCTTATGCAATACAAGGTTTTAATTAAATTTTGCATCTTCTTAAACTGCATCTTATTTTAATTCTGGTCATACTGTTCAAATCACCTGAGATATCAGCCTAAATAAAATACTGTTAAGTGTAAATTCACCTACATGAATATGGCTTTATTCCATAACAAATTAATGCTGACATCCTTCTCCATACTAAAAATTACATGCACAAATGTGTGAAGAGAATTGTATTACATTTTCCAAACATTCATGGCTCATTCACACCGTGATATCAAATCTACCGCACGTCAACGTATTTGTAAATCAATGAAGCAATTTCACTCCTGTTTACAGTTTATAAATAGCAAAACCACATGGAGACGATCAAGCAATATCACATCAATAAACACATAGCAGCAAGCCTGGGCATGCCAAACATATAGCGGGAATATCCAATCTAGCACTGCTAAGTATTTATGGGATATAATTAATGGTGCATGCCACATTGGAGACTGGAAAAGACAACCAATCAGCTGGTCAATATTGAAAAGATCTTCTCAATGAGATTTTTACTCTATGAACACAGGCCCTGCCCACATGATCTACAATGGGCATAGGTAAAAATAGACCCCATGTGACACAATGTTTGACTACATTTGCATGAATTATTTCTGAGCCAATCATATGTACCTAAAGCAGAAAATCCGCCAAATACTTTGACAGACCACATGTGGACAACTTGGCTAGGAGGTGTACATAGCTCTGCATTTCATTTAGATCTACTAAGAATTTAGGCTTACCTGGTTTGATTGGATTTACCTATACGTACATTACTAAGACTGTGCAAGGTAAGAATTATCTTTTCATACATCATAATGACTTTGGTAGGTTTATGTTTCAATGGTATTGTTAATATATATACATTACATTATTCGCCCTTACACCCTTGCATTAGATTGTTAGGTGGGTCGTTCTTGGTTTTATTACAAAATGTCTGCTTCAAACGGGACATTGTAACGTTCAAAATGTCCTATGTGTGGGTCAACACCATTCAGCAGTTGAGAGTGGAATGTATTGATTACACTATTGGACCTATCACAGTCCTTGATATGGACAAGAACTGGCTTGTCACCAGCTATCATTCTATTTGACAGAACTGCAGAGTGAGTAGGTGTGAATCGAAACGGGCACCTGCACATGCTTTGGTGACGCGTGCAATAAAGTGCATTTATTTCAGCATGCATAAATAAACATATACTCTCAAGACACCTGGCAAAGGCTTTAGATGAATCATGCCAATAATAGCAGTAGATTTCTGCTTGAAAACGCCGACAAATTTTTCCATACACGTCGCCATTTTCTCAAACATGTGACGTTGTCAGGGAGGTGGCGTCCCCATCAACCAATCAAGATGCTCAAATACCCACGCATGCGTAACTGAGCGGAAGCACATTTCTCTCTTCGATGACATTAGCGTGTTTATGTCTAAATTTTCCTCCGAAAGTCATGATTTTGAATACCGCTTACATGTTTCACTTATTCCATTAACTTCCTCTCGTCATTAGCTACAAATTGATATACATAAAGCCACATTTACCCCGTTTATAAAGAAATTATGAAACTTTTTTCCTCATCGAGTCGATTTGTTTACAACTTTCTGTGGCCATGTGGTGAATGAATGAAATCCATGTAAGCTTGTGTTTCGAGTCTTGTTTTGTCTTTCCAGACCACTGGAAGTTTACTACAGGTATATCTAAGATTTCCTATCTCATGAACTTCGTTATTTTAACTTCGTTAAGTTGTGAATCTTGTTTTTCGCGCCGTTGTCTCTCGGAAGTTCATTTTTCTCGTCGGAGGGTGGAAAAGTTATCATCGAATTTCTTTCTACAAACTCAAAGACTGGCCCATTTATTGGTCAGTATCACATATAGATTGATGTCAAAACAAATCAGGCCTATATTTTTAACATATTTAATGAAAGTTTTGTTTGTGTGGGAAAGATGCATGCGCAATGTCCCTGCGTGGTAACATGGGTTTGCGCGGGACGTGACACCTCAGTCAATGCAAGCTGGCAGGAGAGCCAGACGTGTTGTAGGTAGCTCCTCAATTTTAAGCTATAGTGTAATTAACAAGGGTGATTGGTCCCTCAGCTAAGACAACATCAATCAGGATTACGTATACCTATCTGGGTAAAATTTCCATCAATGGGGTTTTATTTTATGCAGGAGGGCCGGTACGTCGAACGTGTGTTTTGTAGCCTAATGTCGAAATAGGGCATGGAGTTCATTTCTTTCAGCGAGCCCGCCTTCTCATCATTGGACAAGATCCTTTTGATACAGTTATATTATAAATTCGTGTAATTTATGTGCAGTCGTATTTTACCAGAATGATCATAATGTGTGAACAAAAAAAATGGATTCGTTGAAGTTACGAAATGACAACTTGGACTTCGTTGATAAAGTGCTCGGAGAATATACTTCATATTTTCTGTCATTTCAGATAACATCAGATATCTGAGGCTTAGAAAATGTCTAGAAAAAGGTAAGAATTATTTTTGTAATATTGTATTTCATCCTTCGGATATTGACAATAAGACCTACTGATCGTGACGTAGGACTGGGATGTTGTGAGCTGTCCGACACCGGTCGCACATCGAAGCAGAAGTCAACTTCATATGTCTTTTATTTGCAGTGCAAGACTCCAAAATCGACCAAAAACACAGGATAACGAGAGTGTAGTGTCAAAACCCAACATCTGTAGGAAAAGGAAAGCTATGGAGGTATGTTTATAACATTTTATGATGGACTTGAAACTTCTCCTTTTCACCCCTCTTTGTTTGAGGTGACCCAGTTTACGCTAAGTTTTAGACCCTTTAGAACCCCCAGTTTTAACTTATGTTGCAGGACGATGATAGGGATATAGCTGTGAACAAACGGAGACAACAGTTTAGGATTCAGGTGAGTTGCATGTTGTGAAATTGATCTAAACTTCGACTCAATCGAAAGGCAGAAGTGACAGATTCGCGCCATATCCTCCCTTTAGACCCCCGCGCAAAATTTCGCGGGGATATTTTTCGTGTGAACATTTGAGGAGTGAAATTTCTATATGTTTTAGATTATATGCACAGTTATCTTTTGTTTTATGCTCTCATTTTGTGCAACGTTTCTTCTATTTTTTCTGAATATTTTTTCCCTGGTTCATTCATTAGAAAACTTGTCCTCCATCTTTGTTACTGATGAATATTCATGAGTCCTTAGTTGACACAGCATCATCCAATCAGATCCAACATCCCGCGAAATAAGCATGCATGTCAATAACAACTGTAAACAGATAGTGCACATATCTTGTATCTATATGTATATCGTGTAAATGATAAAAATACTTGGAGACTGAGAATGTATTCATCTTGAAGGTTCCTGGTATGTAAGGCGCGAAATGTCATCGCGTATCACGGACTGTCAGTTTCAACAGCTGTTTAGCGACGTGTTGATATCATCTTCAGGGGATCTCACACACTTGTCAATTGCAACCAAGTGAAGGAACACAAATAGCAATCAGTTGCTGTTGTATATTGTTGGAAATTTCAATTAATTTCAAATCATTTATGGTAATCTAATATCCCTTACACAAGATTTTGGCTAATACAGGTTGATAACTGTTTTTGTCATTATTATGACCTCATTACATTTTACAGAAGCATGAAAGTTCATTTTTTCAATGTCACTATTTTCCATGTAACAAAACAAATATATATTTATTAGGAACGCAGTTTGAATATTTTAACATTAATGATTTCTTCAAAGGTAAATACTGTTTTTGATATGCAAATTATATTATGACATGGAATACAGTTAGATCTAGGCCTAATGAAAATGTCAATATATTTAAAGGGTAGGTTTATACATATATATATTATCTGTTTGTCAACTTGATGTAAAAGTAAAGAACTTGCGTTTATATTTCTCATGGTGGCATTCCGTCACCACAAGACACTGTTTTCATTCTGGTAACTAAAAAAATGCAGCCTCTTCTGGACTTTAGTAAAAAGTGTATAATTCCTAATCATAATTTTGGTTACAATATGGCTCCAAACCATCAAATGGGATTTATAATGCCATAAAAATATCTGTTTGATGTATTTTTTTGCTGAATTGACTGTTTACGGTTCATTGATTTAGCTTTGTTAGCACACGCCACAGCTGAGGGGGTGGGGGTAGGGCATTCCTCTACATCTGCCTGACCCCAGCTGTATGCAAATGAGCCATTACCTGCCCCTACTCGGCTCAACGGTACAGCCTCCCTGTATTATAATCTTTTCATTGAAAATTAGATGGCGCGTGGCTCTGCTGTCTGCTCAGACTGAGGGAATTTGATCTTTCTTTTATTTAGTTTGATCTTTTATCATAAAGCTCTGAACTCTGGAAGGAAAAACTTTGGTCAAGGAACAGGTGTTGTCATTTCCATACCCCCATTGCATTGTGGCCCTCCCCCCTCGTCAGCCTTTGAGGTAGCCGGCACACACTCCTGGTATTGTTAGATATAGGATAGTTTACTGGATATTGGCCACATTTCTATACAGTCATCTGCTCATCAGCATCTGATGTAGTGGTAAAGGTTGGTACCCCGACAACCAGGTGCAGGGGGTTTGTGGTGGTGGGGTGGACCGTCACTGGAGTTCATGCATATTTAACACCTGGAATATTGGCTTTGTTTGAGTGGGTTGTCAGCAATGGTGTTTTGTGGTAGTTGATTAATAATTTAGTTTGATTTCCTTTTTAATTCAAGTGTCAGCGTTTTAAAACAGGACTTGTGTTTTGGATTGTTGTATTACAGTTTTAAGTTCTGCAAAGTGTAAAATATTTATGAGAGTTCTCATAAACTTGTTTTTCTCAGCTCAGGGTCACTGATGAGCCGTTATGATGTAAGAGAATCGATCATTGTTGCACCAAACACATTTCCTTTCATTGTTGTTTCCCATTTAAAACATGCTGTAAGATATCTAATGTCATTTTGCTTGCTATTTCTCTAATAAAAGACAGGTTGGAAGTCTTAAGTTTCTTAGCTTTAAGAGCATGGCCATGTCTTTATTGCATCGGGGATGTTAATGTTGTCTTTGCAGTCAGGATCTTTAACCCCAGTGTCAGTAGGTCAGTGACATAACACCGGGTCACGTCCACCACATGATTGACTCCTGAATTCCTTGACCATTACACTGACCAATCACTGGCCACTGGCCGGAGGTGACATAACTTTGTTATCCCACCTCAAGTAATGAGAGCCAACATTTATTTCTCTTTATTCCCTGTTGTTAATTACAGGTTGTTGGTTGTGAATATCAGATGTCACTGTTGTCTATTTCATTGGTAATGTGCGTCTTCCATCTGGCTGTGACAGTGATTGAAGTTGGGTGGAGATAGATGATGCTTTTAGTTTGGGATGTGTCAATTACAGTCTGGTCTAGGCAAGCATCAATGGGGAAAATGGGGGTTTCTTTATTCTGTCAGTGGAAGAAACTGTTGGGGGTAGATGACATTTCTGTGTACATGTTTTTGGAGTTGGGATTAGGTTTCTATGTTTAAGTAGTTCAAGGAGGAAATGTGGAACACAAGTCTTGTCAAACAGATTGGTTGCTCTACACAGTCAGTCGACTCCATCAATCACCTGCACTGTCTTCTTAAGAATTGTACTTTTCAAAACATTACATTCAACAATTCTGAAATTGTGACAACTGTACCAGTGGGATTCATTTTGAAATCTAAGCAGGGTTAGAAATTAACGCTAGAACAATTCCTGTGGGCTAGAACAAATTTACAATTTTCCCCATTGTTTTGACATCTTTACCTGGGCTAGTAAAGCTTTAAATTTAGTTCTAAACCTGCAAAGGGTTCATATCCCTAACACGGAACATGTATCCCTAAATTGAAATAAGGCAGAATAATCTCATGGACCAGTGATTTTGAAAGAGCTTTAGAACTTTCAATGACTTATTATCGACTTTATGTTGGACAATGAATTTGAAACAAAAGGATGGCATTCAAATCAATGCCTAAGAAAATTAACATTTCAAATTTTACATCAGCCTCCCCTTTTTGTTTTTAGGTTTTAAAATTAATTTTTATCTTCACTAGTCATTAAAAATGAGTTGTGATGTACCTAATAATAACAGTCCTTAAAGAATGTCCTTAATGAATTTAACTTACCTCTGCTTCCATTTTCTAATAGACTAATGTTTTACCTTGTCCATTGCATGGCAATTGATCATATTAAAAGAAAGAGACCATCATTGGAATAAATCAGTATGAAGACAAATGCTACGTCACCATCAACCAGTCCAGTCAACTAACAAGAAGATGCTGTTTGAGTAATTAATCGCAACTTCATCCATATTACCTCAGCCTGCTCCCATAACAGTAGTAATCGACACTGCTCTATCTTGTGGCACTGATTCATTCAAGGCACAGTGACACTCCATATAAACTGCTATCTTTAATTTGCTAGCTGAGGTCAATTAACTGTACTGTTAATGAGAGGATTATCTTCCCTGTCACACACCGAGGCTTGTTGTTGTTGGCTAATAAGGAATAAAGGATTATGACACTACAGCTTACGGTTAAGACTAGAGGGAATAGGAGGAGTCTCCATAGGAGGTCTGGGGGATGAGGGAGGGGGGTCTCTGGCTCCAGTTGGGGGGTAATCAAACAGGAAGGGTAGAGTGTCGGCTCCAGCTGTGTCCAGCATGGTGACAGTTGGCGCCTTGGACCAAACTTGTCACTGTTTAATAAAGTTTTATTGGTTTGTGTTAATGGATGATAAATGCTGACAAGGCACTTTATTGTGGTATCCGCACATTTAATGAAATGTTTCAGACAATTTTCTATAAGGAATTAATTTTATTTCAGAATGATCATGCCAATGAGGTATTAACTAGGCTGTTTATACTTTAGTTTGAGAAATATATGAAATATTTGCCTCTGCCTTGATTCAGTTCATTTTCATTTTCATTTTCTCGACACATTGCAAGTTTGACTAACCTGCTTTTCAAGAAACCAATGGTTTTATAATAGAGCACTTTTCTGTGATTTGGATAAGTTCATTTTATGCAACTTATTTGCACCATTTTGACACCATGCTTGCATTAACCTGTCTCTGCTACTATATTTCTTTTGAAAATAAATTCACTGTTTTGTGACAAATGCTACAAAGCTTAAATCCTGCACAAATAAAACATTCGTCTTTTCCTAATCCCTTAAATCGTAGCAGTTCTGTTACAATGTTGACCTATTGTATACAAGAAAATGCATGTTTCTTATTGTTAGTCTTTCTGACCCCTGTAGTGGTCACTTGAGGTCATCTTGTAGACAATGTCCCATGTACCTTGTAATTGTGTTTGCAGTAGAACGGGTCTGCTACAGTTGTTTTATAGCCTCAGGAAATACAGAAATGAATGAGAAATAATTTCTGCCTTGAGAGAAATAATTGGATGCTGAGTCATTGTCACAGTTTCCTTAGTATAATATTGCTGCTGGTCATTGACAAAGTACAACCGAGTTTGAACATAAAAACATCTTTAGTTCCTTGCTGTTCTTACAGTATTGAATCTACGGACCACTTGAATATTACATTTCTTAACATTCATGGTATGACAGTTGACATTCATGTTATTTTCTAGAGCTCCACATTGGATAATTATTTGTTAATCCCAGTTTGGAACCAGGCTGTCCTAGAGAATACAATCTTACCCCAACACCCCATTTCAGATTTTCTTTGGCCTAGTTTAGGGATGAGGAAGTCTTCCTATCATAGTCATGTACACTTACAAAATCAACATTAGATTTGGGTCATTGAATCATTAATGTGACAATAATTTCAACTATCATTTTTAGATGTTTGTTGATTTTCTCTATTTGTAAATATCTGTTTACTTTCAAGCATAACAAACTCCTTTTTAAGATATAGTTTTACATCAGAAGGAAGTCTTCCCTGGTACCCACACATTAAACTGAAACAATAAGCTATTCCTTTGTGTAGCCTTCAATCTCCTGATATCAGCATCTACTGTTAAAGACTACCCTGAAATCTCACCAAATATACCATATAACAGTATAAAGGGGTGCCTAACAGTACTTTTATCTTGTAAATTACTCCAGAATTCCTTTGAAGTGAACTCAGCGAAGCATGACAATCAGCCTGCCCCACCTGTCCAGTAGCTGACCAATCTGTCCGACCCCTGTGTCCAGCCAACTTCCCCTCCTTACCTACTTCATGTACATAGACATTATCAATAAAGTCCTCATCCCAGTGTACCCACTGACAACATCCACTTGGCCCTCTAGACAATGTTAGGTAACAATGATTGTCTGGCCTTTGATCTTCCAAGGGTAGATCTGTTTTATTGCTGTGGTCGTTGTCTGGGAGGAGTAGGATGTAGATGTAATCCAGTATCAGACAGCTGTTGCTTCAACTTCTGTTTTTCTGTGTTGGTCTTTGTGAAGTGTAAAATTCATTTGCTTTGTCCTTACTGTATTCTTTTTATGTAAAATAGGCTATAGCTAGTTCCCATTCTATCAATTTGAATAATTTTATAATCAGGTCATAGCCCCTAGTCTAATAAAACACTTTCTATCTAGTTTTGCTAATAAAAATGTATACAGGAATACTAGGTCTAATTTGTATACTTCAGGGCTTGACTGTTTTGGTGTAGCACTAAACATTTCTTTATATTTTAATATTCCAAATATTTAATCAACAATTTCACTTAATGCTTTGTTTTTATCATTTATGATCAATAAAAATGTAAGCCATTGGTGACATTATATTTTACCAAGTCCTGTTACAAATTCCCTACTGTGACCTTTATTACATCCGTGAGATGATTGTGTTAACTGCCATCACTTACTGCTAGAAGCATAGGTGATGATCTATGACACAATTTCCAACACTGCCACAATATTGATCTATTTCAATAAAGTTGTGATAATCAAAGTGTTGAAATGCATTATGCCCCAAATTATTAGTAATGATTGTCACCAAGCATGTGCTGTCACCATGCAGTGCAAGTCACACTTGTGTTATTACTCAACAATGTCCCACATCCCAGGTGAGGAACCAGCAGTCCCCAGCAGCAGGAAGTGTACAGTTATTCATACTACACCTCATCCATCCCATTCTCATCAGCTTATCCCCAACTAGATAAACAAAGCCTCTAGCCTCAGCCCCCACATGCCCATGTCTGTATCTCAAACTCCGCCCCTTTTCTCACTATTACCAAATATTCTTCCTCCAATTTCCTCATCATGTTAGCATCCTATTGGTTCACATTACATCCTCTTTGACCACTTCCCAAGCTCCGCCTCCACAAGCACCTGCCTAGCCACTGGTCAGTGAAGTGTGACCAGGGTCAGTGAAGTGTGACTGATCCAATCCCTGGCCTCATCAGCAGGTGGTCAGCAGGTCTACACAGCGGGAGACTTGAGCACTGCAGGGCTGTCCTCTCCCCCCATCAATTGTTATTAGTGTCAGGGCATTCTTTGACCATGTGGTCTGGAGGGGTATAAAGGGGCTGGGACCTAGGTCAGTGGTCAGTTGTGACTGAGCTTCAGTTGTGAGAGGTAGTCTCTCAAGTTCCAAATCTAGCAGTGGATTACAAATACCTTCACAAGGACCATGGTTTACTACACAGCCACATCCTGCCCCTGTGCAGATACCCCAGATGAGGTTGGTCTTTGATTTCATGTCACATGTGGTTTATAGGTGTGCACATGCCTTGCATTAAACAGGAGTTACTCATAGGTGTGCTAGTTATCTGGTCAAGTTTTCAAATGGTTTGTTTTTTGTTGAGACATTTACATCAATTTTCATTGTCAGTTTCTATATTATGAACTTCTCAAGAAATAAGTTACACTCAATTCTTTCATATTACTAACCGGGTGTTCTTTTTCTTAGTAGTATATATTACATGGCACGCCATAGAAAAATCAAAGGATCAGGTGTTCTTAAAATTAGTAGTACTTATTACCTTTTCTTCGTTTGATCAATATCAGTGTGTAAATATTTCCTGTTCGAGAACCTGGTCAAGGATGAAATTTTAGGTCAAATTTTTTTATCCAGTTCTCATGAACACAGCAAAGTCGAATTCAACACCCTCCTGTGTAAGCCATGCCTATATCTCTGTTATGAAGAGCACAACGTCATGAGATCGGTGTCGGTGTATTTACTGGGTTAGGGTACAGTTAGTCATCAATGGGACACAGTACCCACATTATATCTCACACTGCGTTTCCCACGACTAGGAACATTCTTGTCATGCATGGCTGGGCAGGAGGCTCAAACATCACCAAATTCATTTGTAACATTAATGTTTTTTCTCTACTGATGCATTGAATCATGTTCTCCAGAAATGTTGAGCTTGCTGAATTATATTTATTCTGTTCTTTGATAAAATATAATCATGCCATGGGTTTTATGTGCATAGATGTGAATCATCAAGTAAACTTCGTTGAAACTTTCAAGGATGAATCCTCGGGAGGAAAATGAACCATTTCTTTCTCAAGATGGTTTTCAATTTCAGTCACAACATCCCATTTTAGACCACTAGCCCTTAAAATTATAACATAGCAAACCATCAATATGATGCCTTAACTATTGGGGCAAGGACAAGTGCCAATTGATTTTGTTATCATAGGAAAGGTTAGAGACTTGATTTTATGAAATGATTTGGCCTCCTGGTCTGACATGCTACCCATCCCCCTCAAGCTGCCATTGTTTCTTGTCCACCACCTGGTCAGCGAGGCAAGCTGGTCAGCCTGCAGCAGGTGGTCGTCTCAGGTTGGCCAGCTCAGTAGTAGGGAGGCTGCCCTCAAGCGATAGCCACTGACTTCTTAGATACTGACCATATGGTGAGCGATGCACTGGTCAAATTGTGATGAAATACTGTGGCCATTGAAACAGGGTCTCTGTGTGATCTGTTCTGTGTCATCCTGCAAATATTTCGCCATTGTAACGAGAATTAGGACTGTCTGAAAGTTAATTATGCATTATGATTCAAAATTATTTCCATTGCTGTTTTAGAATCAGTGGATTCCCATCTCAGAGGATTCGTCCGTGACGTCATGCACCATCATCCCCAGCACAACAGTCACACCAGAACCGGAAATTACGCCGGCAAAATTCATCGGAACACAATTCCGGTTCCAGAACTATTTTACACCAGTGTCGTCACGATCATCTCCCCTTCCCAAGTTCACATGGGCGGATTCAAAGGAGGTGTGGCAGTTGATGCTTAAGAAAGAGGTTCTGTACGTCCGAGACCAGAACATGTTCGACAGGCATCCAGCTCTGCAGCCAAGGATGAGGGCCATCCTGCTCGACTGGCTAGTTGAGGTGAGCTTTCGTTCTCATCTTGTTCATTTGTCTAGTTACTAGACATGTAAAGAATTGTGTTTACATTAACATTTTTGAAAAGTTAATAACATGGCAAACTTGATATTCTTCTGGATCCTAAACATTGACCTTAGCTGTACTTGCCTGACTGAAAACAGTTTTACTATATACAGGCTTTGGTCTAGTGGCTACATTCTTGGTCATGTTTAAGAAATGGTTTGAAACATGTGATGGATGAGAAATTTGCTTCAGATAATCAATGAATCATTAAAGGAATTTAGGCCTTATGGAATTAAACTGTTCGGAAACTCAGTTCAGATTTTACAACAGCTGTTGTATATTTCAGGTGTGTGAGGTGTACAGGCTTCACCGTGAGACATTCTACCTCGCCATTGACTTCATCGACCGCTACCTCTCCCAGAAGCGTAATGTCATGAAACACAACCTCCAGTTATTGGGAATCACATCTCTCTTCATCGCTGCCAAGCTAGAGGAGATCTACCCACCCAAACTGACCGAGTTTGCCTATGTTACGGACGGTGCATGCACGGAGGAGGAGATCCTTGACCAGGAGTTGATCATGCTGAAGGCCCTGAATTGGGACCTGTCCCCCATGACCTGCAACGCATGGCTGTCTGTGTACCTACAGGTCGCTAACATGGAACAGATAGTCAAGGCAGAAGATGGCTTTGTCTTCCCTCAGTTCTCAGGCCATGCCTTCGTCCAAATTGCAAGGGTAAGTGTTCAAGCGTTCAAGCGTAGGATATATTTGTGATATATCAGCAATGACCCTTCCTAACAATATCAAACAGTTTCAAGATATGATGATCAACCAAAATTTAATGTCATTTTTTAATTCTTATTAAATATTTTTAGGTTGAGTTTCATGTCTTCAGGTGTATTTCTTTTGGACATGTAGTTAATGAAAGGTCTTTATTTATTTCAGCTGTTGGACGTGTGCATGTTGGACCTCGGTTGTTTGCAGTTCACGTACAGCGTTCTTGCTGCATCAGCCCTCTATCACATGACCTCACAAGATGTTGCTCTTGCCGTCTCAGGTGTGTACATATTAAATATCAACATCTAAATATTCATATAGCGCGGATGCTGCAACTGAAATGTATTAACTCTGCATTGGAAGCGTTTTATTTATGGTTTTGGCATTTTTGTGTTCCAGGCTTGAGCTGGCAGGATATTCTGCCCTGTGTGCAGTGGATGTCGCCTTTCGCTGTCACAGTCAGGGAAGATGGGCCTGTCGAAATCAAGTTCTTTCCCACAGTCCCGTCTGAAGACTGTCATAATATCCAGATTCACAACATAGATCTCACATTACTGGTTAGTATAGTGTTTACAATGTACAAGTCTTGCAAAAATAGTCGCTGTTGCCTCAATAAGACATTTCAGTACATAAAGAAAGCTTCTAGAATCTACTGTATGTCAGTGTGATGAACAACAATAAGGATAAAAAAAATTTTTTATTTTTTCAGCTTAAAACAATTAGTATTATTTTGCTTAGATTTTATACAGACTTTGAGTTAATATTGATGTTCATATTTCAGGAAAAAGCTCAAAGTCGCCAGGAAGAGGTAATGAATGCAGCCCGTAGATCGCCAGACATAACATCTCAAGTTATTACGCTACTGACGCCCCCTAACAGTGATGAGAAGCCTCTACCTCTCCACAAACAGGGGGATGTAGCATGAGAACAACACCATCTACATTGTGTACAAACTGATGCTGTTTCCCTAACAGTGCATAAACTGATGCTGTTTCCCTAACAGCTAATGTGAACCACAACTAACAAAGACGTTAGTCCAAACTCACAGCTACGCCGGCATTGCCTCCTGCATGTCGGCTCGTGGCAAACCGGTGTGATTGACTGCCACAGACGACTGTTTCCTTCGTGACAACAGCGCCAGATTCTGTGAAACGCCCCGAGATGGGGTTATGGGGTATATGCAATCATGGGTTCTCCACATCGTGTGGAGATTAATGATGATGCACTTCAAGATATTGACTTGATGAAGCAGAGGATGTTATGATATGAACGAGTGTCAAATGTGAATGGACAGTGTTCAGTGTGAAAATGAACGCAATGAACGTTCAACTAGTCTCCGCCAGTAATAACTGGTTCTACTGCCTGACAACTTCAGGCATGGCGTGTTCAAACCTACGCAATAAACGCGCATGAACTAGTCAGAAGCTAGGGCAGTTTGAATACAAATCTTGACATTTCCAATGTGTTCAGAATATGACCAAAAAGATAATTTTCCATTTTGACTCGCAAAATGCAATAGTGCTCAATATTTTTCTACTTCAATGTTATTTTTGTGTCAACGAAAAAAATCATTCATTACCATCAAACCACTGCCAAGCAGCATGAACTCAATACTGCAATATGTTTTCTTCATGTGTGATTATATACCTACAACACCAAATAGAGGGATTAACTTAAATAAAGTTATTTATTTTTTTTCAACTATTTAACATCTTAGATAGTGACTGTATGCTATGATGAAGTATTTAAGTCGGATATTATTATACATGAATTAACTTAATTTCATGAATAGTTCATGATGAATTATTCACTGTACATAATAGTACTGATACTATTGTATAGTAATACTAAAAGGGAGAAAAAAAATATAAAAGTTTTTATTGTTTTTTCCAAAAACATTAGCCATGTTAGCATGGAAAGTAGTATCTTTCTGTGAAAGTATCACAAATAAATATGATCTCAATCTTTGCAAGGATGCATTCAAATGATTCATAATTCTTGTATCTCAAATTTTTTTAAAAATATCAGGTCTTTGTGGCAAAATGAAATTTATTTTGCAAATGCATAAAAATTAATTTTGTTTATGAAACACTCCACGACTGAGGATAGATTTTCGTTTTGCATAATTATAAATATGATGAGATACTGGTGCCTACAACATCCATCATCCCATACTGTTGATCAAATGAAGAAATCACTTCTTTTTATTCATGAAAAAAGATTATTTTGTTGATGGTCAGCCCATGTGAACATTTTACGTAATAGCATATTTAGGGTTGCACCAGTTTTATGTGTGTAAAAGCTTACCAAAGCATAAAGGCAAGTATTTCTTCAGTGTTACAAACATGTGTCATGTACATACTAGTTAATTGTTATTTTAGTTGCAGCCGCAAGGTGTTGTCTTTATCATAAGTCATAAATGCATTTCTGGAATGAATTTATATGTTACTTATTTTAAATGACTTATTTTAAAGATTTCAACCAAGGATGTAAGCTATGTAAATTTATCAGATGAAATAAAAGTGAATAATTTATAATCTGCTTGTTTGTCTTGCATTAATCTGTACCCTGTAGCTATGGCTTCGTCAAGCTATGGATGAATGATTCAGAGGACTGTCCCTTCACATGACTCCGAATGAAACAATATGCAAGGTTCAGTTTCGCACAGTGTAAGAAACTGAGGGAGTCCTTGTGCTTCTTATCTGGGATTCTGATGATGCATATCGCCATTGTCACTTATTGTCCACAGGTCCGTGACAAGTGAAAACTCGCCAGGACTAGTACTCTTTGAACTTTCTGAAAGGACCTCATAACTTACACTCTTCATTCTGTAACACTGTAGGCTCATGAATATGAGCCAAAGCCTGTCAAAGAACAAAGATGATTTTTTAAAACTGTTTTTAGTCTGACCCCCTGAACTCCAACCCTGAAATAACATTTTAGCAAAGACATTTTTTTGTCATGGAGAAATGACTGTATGAACAGCTTCAGACTTGGGTTTTCTTTGTGACAATCACCACTTCCTTCTCAAGGTCCTGAACTCATAAATCTATCCAACATGGCCTTATTCCCTCACATGCCACAGCAATGTTTCTCCCAGCCTTGGCTAGCCATCAGTTGTCTCTGGACAAAGAGCCCTTGGTTGTGCCTCCCTGTAGGGGGTGAGTTACCATGGTGATATGACCACCCCAGTCTGATGTCCATCCTCCAATCTTGTTACGCCATCCTCCCAGCAAGTCTTCACATTAGGACAAGAGGACACATGGAGAAAATGCTTAGAAATTTAATCTGGAACATCCGGATGAGTCTTGAGGGAATCTAGTAATTTCTTAATCTCCATCAAACCATCTATGTGTTCAAACATTGCGATACTGGGGTAGAGTTGCATTGTTGTGTAACACATTTTAATGATGGCAGGTTTTGTTACATAAATGCTCTTGTTCTTGAAGTCATCCAAATGCAATTATTGCATAAATTGTGTTTACTCTACCTGGTGATAAAAGTGCCATAATTAAAGTCACAGGTTGTGTTGGCTTAAGATGTTAGCAAAACATCCATTACAGCATGGAATTGAGACCCATGTGAATTATCTTTTTTAAAGATGTTCACACATGAAACTTGTATTTCTTCTGTTGTACGTGTATTAACCTGTTTCTTAAATTATTTCAAGGCTCAGTAATTGTATTGAATAGCTGTGAATCTTTTTTTTAAATATCTCATGGAAACTTCTTGACTATAAAAAATTCAGAGCAGGTTCAAAGGGAAAGGCAAGGTGTAGACACATGTTCGTAGTGGCTATTTTTAGTAGTCGATTTTGAAAGCTAATTACAACACATTTTGCAGTATTCGACTGACAAAAACGTTTGGGGGACAAAAATGAGTTGTAAATAATTTATTTTAGCAAGTGTATCGTCTTGTATCGATATGTATGGTGTATCGTATCGTCGCATGAAAACTCAGGAAGCACCTGCTCCTAATGTATCGTTTTGACCCTAATGTTTAGCCATTCTTATGTACTGGATCAAGTCCGAAGGCCAAACAAGTGCAAGGTAGAGAGAGAAAACACTAGTTAAGGGTGTTTATCCTACCGCATCCTTTTACAGCTGTAAAATAAATGATGTAAGTTGGTAAAACATTAAATACTGATGTTCTTTTATTCAGTGAATTTTTTAATGAATTAGAACAATTTGTAAGGCAGTTGCATCAAATCTGCAATAGCCCTCAAAATGTTCCTGGGTTCTGACATTACAGTTTATGGCTATTAATGTGTTAGTTGTAACCAAAGACGCATGGGTGAAAATAATTCAAGCATACAACAAATTAGAAACTATTTTATTTAATCACATTCTCGATCATTGATGTGTATCTCTCAGCTTGTACTACAGTCCACATACAGAGTCCACACAAGGCTGACCAGTGCTGACCAGTGCACCAAACAAACGGGGTACAAGCACGCCTGCAATATGAAAGAAAGGTTCCCAATGACTTCTGACACATTGGTCAGAGACGGCTGCACACAACCCTTGTGATCATGTGACAAGTGCTTCCAAGGCGTTTTCTTGTCAACTTTTTATCACTTTGATCACTGATCCACTTCCCAAGAATATGAAGTGAAGAAAAAATATCTGACAATAATTTGCTTTAAACTAAAGGTCATGTAGTGTACCGTCTGCTTAAAGTCCTCAAACAGTACAGGTTGGGCACACAAGAATATCTGGAAGAGGATTGTGTCTAGCATTCATTATAGACTTGCACAAGTCTCTCAGGCAATAATTATTAGTTTAAATCAAAATTTATAGATCATGTAAATAATAGAGTCCTTGTACTGTCCACACATCTAGACTTGCCTGTTGGGAGGTTGGAATTACTACACATCCATGGACCTTGAAGCAAGGCTAGATTCGTTATTGTCAAGTAAAAGAAATAGAGGCAACTCTTGATGTTTTTCCCAATAAAGTACGGGAGATAGTTTCAAACACAAGTGCGGATAGAGGTTATTTTTAAAGAAGAGGACCTTCATTTTGTGATTGGGCAATTCACATTCACATTGATTTTGTTGAAATTTTGTATCACCAAATGAGATAGTCATTGCATTGTTAGACATATACTATTAGCGTACAATATGGATAAATTTTATGCTTAAAAAAGTGGGGTGCGTTCCAATACCGAAAAAGCAAATTATTATCAATGCTTTTTACATTTTATTATGTCTATCAGGCCTGGGACAGGTAGCTCAGGTACTTGGATCAGGTGGGTACTGAGTAGGACCTGGGTACCCACAGGACTACCCTGACCCGTGGTTAGTCACAGGATTGTTTAATAGGAAAAAATCATGGCTACCTACAAATCTTTAGTGTTCGGATAACTTTCTGACTATTTTATGTTTTGAGTTAAGACACACCTTCCGTCAACTTCAGTGTATGCATGACCAGATCATTTCATAGATGTATCCAAATACATTTTTGCCAGGGGTACGGTAAAACAATTCCTAATCTGACATTTTGTACCAAACTCTTGAGACCTACAGCACGTATACGTAGGGTCAGGTACCCAGGTAGTAAATTGGACTAATCCCAGCCCTGATGTCTATGGTTAGTATGGATAGTGTAGTGTGGTATGGAGTTAAACTATTGATATCTCAACATATCACAGAGGTATTGCCTTCAGGTCATGGACAACCGAGATGCCTCGCATCAACCTGCGCACCCCTGTGCAGACCTGTGAAGATCCGGGGTAGAATAGGTCTTCAGCAACCCATGCTTACCGTTAAAGGTCGACTATGCTTGTAGTAAGAGGCAAATAACGGGATTGGGTGGTCAGGTTGCTTACTTGGTTGATGCATGTCATTGTATCCCAATTGCGTGGATCGATACTCATGATGTCAATCACTGGATTGTCTGGTCCAGACTCGATTACTTACAGACTGCTGGAATATTGCTGAGCGAGGCATTAAACAACAAACAAACCCCTAATGACAAACCCAAACCACATAATTCCAGCTGAATAAGTAAGAAAAAAGATTCAAGTAGCCAGGAGTTTATGTGTTTCCTTAAAAGCCAGGCTGCGTTTGCTAATTGTTTTTGGCAAACACCTGGATTTTCTGATCCATTCACATAATTTTCGCTGCTATTTTGCCTTTGAACCCCAATGGAATCCACTTCAACAGAAAATCAAAACTGGTTATTCTCTGATGCTGATGATTGTATTCTTTCCTTTTTTCGTATCCGCTCCAAGTTTTGCTCTGAGGATGTGTTTGTTTACCAGGAGAGTCTTAGACAAACACAATGGACACTGGATAGACTTCTTGTCCAGTCTGTTGCAGCATCACCAGTCTGTGAAGAATGGACCCCAGCTCCAGCCACCATACCCTGTTACATAAACCAGCATTCCCGTTTTTCCAGAATATCCCCTAAGTCAGAAACATTCTTGTTTTTCTTGAAATGTTTACAAGGGACTTTGACCGTAAACGAACATTACCAACTGAGTTAAAAGTATTGTCGGTAACAATGAAGAACAAACTCACAACTGACCACTAGACAGGATGCTCTGTCTGTAATGTTGACCTTCAACCATCTCCCTGCCCTTGAACAAACACGCTGTCCATGACGACTTTGTCTCCTACTACTCATGACACAACAAGTTGCACGGAAACATTAGGTCCATTTGCTTATCGTTGCCTGATTGTAATGGGGCAATGATTGGTCGGATGCTGGGAGTGGATATCATGACAATCCTTGTGTTTCTAACATATGGTTTGCATCTGTAGAGATGTAATTTGGTAATTAACTAAATTAATTAGCTCTGATTCTGATTTCATCAAGATAGTTTCAAGGTTGGTTGAAAATCTGTTTATACTGAGCTTGGTGGCAGCATCTTGGCTGTTTGAGAGTTGGGTATGGGGGGTTGTAAATCTTGTTCATCTTGGGATCATGATGTGGGGAAGTGAAGTCGAAGCTGACACAATGTTGGTATTATTCAAATGTTTTTTACAGATCTCACTGAGAGATGTCTTTCACATTAAGCAGATGTTAGTTGAAGTAATGTTTGGCTTGTCTGGTCATGTTCTAACACTGAGGGATGGGGAACCTGGTTTAGAATGGTTTCTCCGACATTCCATGACTACATTGGAGGGAGTGGTCAAGATCACACTGGGGGTGGGGAGTTATAATATTTTCTCTAAAACAACTCTTATACCACACGGCACCACGCCACGCCATGCCACACCACACGCCATCACCCACTGCACAACGCAACATCAACCGTAACCTCAGGTCAAATATCACATGGTCAGTCCCTATCACTGGATTGTCTGGCCCAGACTTGAGTGTTGTACAAGCTGCCATGTTACAGAAGCTGCCGACACCTGCCTAAAACAACATTCACTCAACGCCTGTAGACTGGTTCTGTGCTTGTTAATCTTAGACAGATTGAAAGAACAGAGACTAATGAAATATCTGCAATACAAAAGCGAGAACATTGCTATTTTTTACCCATTACTCATGTCAGAACCAGTGAAATTCTGTGACATTGGTATCGT